TGTAATTCCTTCAAGTTCTGAATGATGCTGTCACTTGGCATATCCGAAGGGATACGTCTTCATCACACAATTCTCTGCAAACGATATCTGCACCCCATTGCCTAGTCTGATAATGCCGTACTCGCGTACGTTCATCGGCTGGATAAGACTTACAAGTGGTCGGAAAAGAGTCGAGAGATTGAGCAATGCGAGAAAAAACGAAAGCCGGCTACTGAGATCACCCAAATCGTATGTTTCAATAATTTCCGCTTTTGCACCGCGTTCCGTCATCTCGTCTTTTCGAATAGCTACCAAGCACACTTGCAGTCCCACAGCAGCGTAGCCAAAAATGTACGGCGCATCGTCATACCTCCATATCAGTTTCTCGTGCAATTCCTTAATCGGTACGTCCAACACTCCACTTGCTTTTTCTTCCCCACGAAATACACACACATTGCTTCTGCCATAGTAAAAGCACAAATCTGGTCGATAGAGACCAGTAGCAGCAGAAGCATTCGTGTTGCGACGATAGCTCCCTCTTATCACACGCTGCAGCAGTGTCGCAATGAGGCTATCCCACAGGTAAATGAATGTTTGTTCGGTTTCGGACTCATAGCAGCTAGGGGGATTTACGAAATTCCTCACGATCGCAGAAGTGTCATCCCCAACGTCTGTACGTGGTTCAGGCTCAAATAGCTTGTCGAAAGCGCGAGCACAACTTCCAATCGTGTAATGTGCAAAAATTACTTGATAATGCCGATTATAGATAGGGATTTTAGTACGAAGCGGGCGTTGCAGATACTTTTTCAAATCTTCACAAGTCAATGGTAAAACTGTAACCTGCTCATTCTCAATTGCATCCATCCAAGCGTCCTTACGCATCTTCATCCACCTTTTGCCGCTTCCTTTCGTTACCGACTGCCGTAAATTCCTCAGGAACCACCACCAGCACGTGAATTTGTCTCCCTACTGGGTCCTCCATACCTTCAAGGAGATCAGAAATATAGTCCTCTCCTTGCAGCTTTTGGTCTTCTTTCATTAACTCTACAACGTGATGAGTCTTCTCGCCCTTCTTCAGCTGTTTTACATCGTCCGAGCTCGAGGCCAGCCACTTGCCCTCTACCATCTTGGCAGGGTAGAGCTGCAGTTCATCCGCCGGAAACTGGTACATCCTCTTCGCCTTGATCGCATCTTTTAAATGCCCCACCGACTGTCTCTTGTCAATATCCACAGGAAATACGCTTTCTTTCGTACCAACGATTATACAGAAGAGCGTGACCATTTTTTCTTCTTCTGGCAGATTAACGAATGAGCGAGAAGGAACGACCAATATGATTCGTCATAGAATATGACTGATTGTATGTGACACTAACTATACTGGGGCCAAAATGAGGGATATCCTTTCACTCTGATTGGCTGACTACCAGAATAACATATCGATGCCCTTACTTTAATTAAGTAAACGACTCAGACGGGCTCACTTTATTTAAGTAAACAACTC